AATATATATATATATATATATAAATGGATATTTGTTGCTGGGTTGGTAAGTGATAAACATCTACATCGCTCACCCAATCTTGATGAAACTTGACATGTATAAGTAATTTTTCGTAGAGAAGGTTTTTAGTCTATGAAATTTTCTGTAACTCGCCACTAGATGGCGCTGTAGAATAATTTTTGAAAGCACTGTTCTATAACGTTCGTTGATTCTGATTCTGTCAAAATATTGGAACAGCAGCGATACAGCAACATAGTACTAGTAGTATATGGAATCCTTGATTAAATTCGAAGTTGGAGTGGGAAGTCTAAAGGTATAATTGCTGTTACGAGTAGCATAAGAGTAGCAGCAAAGTTGAACTTCGCTTTATGTTTATAAATAAGGCAAACCGTCTCTAGGATAAAAAGTGCGATGACTGTTAACATTTTATTGGCAGTGAACAAGTTCCTGGACGATTCTCTGGATTTGACTTTACAGAGACATCTCAGTGCCCTCTTCTGTAATGTCAATACAGAAGAGAGAAGGAATGAGTTACATGCTCCCAATAAAGTTATTCCATAACCTAGTCGAGATTCATTAAGTGCATGGTAAATGGAGTTTTTTCGTGAATTTGGGGCATGGAGCGTGTGGTATCAGAATTATTACCCACCATATTCACCAGATTTGGCCTCTTGCGACTTTTTCATAAGAATTAAGATACCCATAAAAGGACAAACTAAAAAATGCATATCAGAACTGCTTTGAGGATTAGAAAAAACGCTGTTACAAGTGTATCTTTCTCCCTCTCTATCTGAGGGGGACTACTTTGGAAGGGAAATTGATGAATAAATATTTTTCTAGAAAAATGAAAATTCATCTTATTTTTTGAACAGATCTCGTATAGTTCGAACTAAAAATTTCAATTAGTGTGAAATAAATCTCCCAACTTTCTGAATGTTTAATATTTTCATCACAAAGGAAAAATGACATCTTTGAATTGCACGTAACACCTGAATGGTACATTTCATTGCCAATTTAATTCAAGGAAATTTAATTTTTCAAAAGTTATTTGTGTTTTATCCTGAAAAAAACATTTTGATGATTTGATTTACACAATCTTGAAAACAAACATTTTGTTACTCGATTCGAATTTCCAACAGGAGTGCCCAGTTACAGGAAATGATATTATTACAGAGTATATATGGAATAAATATTAATAATAATGGAATATAGAAATGTATAAAAGTAAGTGCTAAAACAAAGTATATATAAAATATTCGTATACGTAAAATTTCAAAAGAGGAGTGAAAAATTGAGTATTGTATAACACAAAAAGTTACAAATCATGCAATGTAGCAGTACTGACACATATGTTATTTATAGTATTATTAAAAGCAATTGTGGATACATGATACCAAGGCGTTCAGAGAGTCGAAATGAATATCGCAATGTCCACAGATTTTATTCAATCCAATGGTGATCATAGCATAACATTTGTGCGTGATGCTTCACAATAGAATTTCAGATTGTGTCGACCTTCACTTCTTGGTACTAAGAAATTGATCTCGGGTAAAAGAACTGTACTGTTGTTTAGTAATTTATGCAGGAATTTTATACCAAGGATACCTCTCCTATTTTCCAAAGAAGTCATATCAAATCGTGTCAATAAAATGTTACGATCGATGCCTCTCTTGGGGTATTGTCCATCAACTTTTAGACATAGGTATTTTAGGAATTTCCTTTGCACGCTCTCAACTAATGTTTTTTGGTAGTAGTAAACTGGATTCCACAGAGCCATACTCTAACTTAGATTTGGTATACACAAAATATAGCAATTTTAAGGTGGCAATACTCTTGAAGTTTTGCCATTTCTGTAAATGAATCCAAGCATCCTATTTGCATCAGCAGTCATATTCCTTATATGTGTTGTAAATGTTAATTTACCGTCGTATGTTATACCAAGATCTTTTATCTCATATACACTGTTGATTGTAGTATTGTTGATTAAATAATCGTACATTAAAGTTCGCTTTTTTGTTGTAAATGATATTATTTTACATTTGGATACGTTCAGTTGTAGACGATTATTACGACACCAAAGTTTGATTACATCTAATTCATGTTGTACACGTTGACAGTCAGTAATGTCGTCGATTTTATAATATAGTTTCAGGTCGTCTGCAAATAGTAGGCTAGGAATATTCAAAGAGGTTGCCAAGTCGTTAATAAAAATTAAAAACAATAGAGGTCCAAGATTAGAACCTTGTGGTACCCCAGATGTCAATTTGAGTCAATTTGAAAGATTCATATTCGACGAATTGTTTTCTGTTAACTAGATATGATTCAATTAGAGTAAGCAGTTGGTTAGAGAGTCCCAATTTTGTCAATTTGCTAAGAAGAACATAATGATCTATTATTTGATCGAAGGCTTTTTGAAATTCTAAATAAACAACATCGACTTGTTTTTGCTTGTCCAGGTACGTACAGAGATATTGATTTAATCATGCAAGATTTGTCATACATGATCTTTGTTATATGAAACAATGCTGAGTAGGAGAAATAACTTTTTGAATATGGAAGTACATAACATTTTGCACACATATCTCGAAGAGTTTAGAAAAGTTACATAATATAACAGTTTGGCTGAAAAGTGCATAAGCTGACTAAGAAAAAAAATCATTTGTGTTTGTTTGTTCTCCTGATGAAGACACGTCGTAACGGTAAGGGAGCTAGGCTCCATCCTATTTAAACTCAAGGCATTAATCGGATATTATATTATATTTTAAAGCTTCAGGCTTTTCTACTTCATCTTCCCAACTTTTTTTGGGAGCTTTCCACATTGAATGTTGAATGATGGACAAATAGAAAGTCATGAAGCTTTTTTTCCCCTAAAGAAGAGCATTTACCTTAATTAATTTGAACAATTTCATACGCAATTATAAGATCAGATCGTAGTTCTGTGACCTTCAATAAATAAATATAATTAATATTCTTTAGGCTCAACCAGAATCTGGTTTTGATAGTTTTCTGGAAAGCGCACAATCGATGTTAGCAGGAGCCATCAAAAGCGGTGCTGCTGAAAAACTACTAGGTGGGATATTGGGTGGCGGTTCTCAACCCCAACAAGGCTATGCTCACCAAAATGCGGTAAGTACCCCATTCAAATCCTTAAGCAGATGAATAGCTTGGTATCATTGCGAACAGAGCTTCTATCATGGACAGTATGACAAAAAAAAGATTTTTCAATATATTTTGCAAATTCACTTCTGAATTTGTCGTTGTTCAAGTAATTTGAAATATAATTCAACGGTTCAAAAGAAAAACATGTCGATGAAGAATATAAATATTAATTAAAAGTTAATGAATATTGTTTATGAGGCTTGTCACGATGCTTTTCCATATTCGTCTGCATTTGTTTGTATGTACAGTTAATGTCACTCACATCATTTGCTACTAGTGTTTTCGTTAATACTAACTGCCTATTTTTGCCTAGTGTGTCACATATCACACCATACACAGTGCATTGTGTTTTCTTCATTTCGCCTGTATTCATTTTATTGATTATCAACAAAAATAAATGTAAAATATTGATAGATACACGAGGTCTGTTAAAAATAAGGGGGATTTTTATTTGTCTCAAAAAATATTCATTTATTCATCATTTCTATTTTGTCCCCTTCACAGTCCCCTTATTCAGGCAAACTCGCCATACAAGATACAAGGCCACAGACTACAGAAAACAACAATCAGTATTCTGTCACAGTATATAATACTGTGATTCTGTGTACAAGGCACAGACTACAGAAACAAGTTAATCAGTATTCTGTGGTACAAGGCAGACAGATCACCCAGTCAACCAGAGTACACCAAATTGTCACGTGGTGTGCTGTCACTCAGCGGTAAACCAATCGGAGTGTACCAAAATGTTACGCAGCTTACCAGCTAATCAGAGCACACTCTTCTGCAAGTCAGAACATTTGAATTTTCTGTGGACATAAATAATTCAAACAGTCACGTGATGCGCTTTTCTCAATCTGTCATTTTTTCCGGCTCTCCACACCTTTGTGATGTCTCAGCACACGTGGGGAATTAAAAAAGATCGGAGAATTGAACGCTGATCATCGGCGTGGTAGACTATGTCCTCAGACTCAGTTGTCGCAAAACGCCGTCCTTTCATGGGTTTCTTTAATCTTGGGAACAGGAAAAGTCGCAGGGGGTCAAATCTGGTAAATACGGTGGCTGAGGCATGATTAGGGTGTTGTTTTTGACCAAGAAATTATGATCAAGCAATGACAAGTGAACAAATGACGCGTAACTTCAAGGTGATAGTCTATATTGACCGTTCGACCATGTGGAAAGAACTGCTGATGCACTACGCCACGGTCATCAAAGAAAACGGTGAGCAATGCCTTGACATCTGATCAAACTCGACGTGCTTGGCTCTCCTGGGCTATTTCATTGGGACGATTGGATAATGATAACCATATATACCCATGATTCGCCAGCAGTTATGACCCTTTTAAATAAATCTGGATCGCCGCTGACGTCATTCAAAAATTCCTGAGTGATGCTCATGCGACGGTTTTTTTGTCAAAATTCAGCAATTTTGGAAAGAACTTCGCTGCCAATTGCATGAAATGAGTCAACCGATATGTCGACATCCTCCTAAATTCCTCTAATAGTGATTCGACGATTCTCCATAACAATTATGTTCATTTTCATCTGTTGTTGATGTGCTGAGGCGTCCAGGGCGAGCGTAAATATTTTTCTGACTCAGAGTACAATCACCGTATGCCACTGTCAACATCTCAAGTGTTTCTGAGTACTAAATTCCATTTTTACATGAAATTTGTTGCTAATCCTTTCATTAATTTTTTTCGATAGCAGAAAATCTACAAACACGTAAAATACTAACTTTCATGCCTCTCACTAACAAACTAAACAGCTGAAACGGTGAACATATGTTCGAAACGGGAGAACCAACATAGAAAAAATATAAAAAATGCTAATCGATTGTACGTAGACCGCGAAATTTGAAAATTCACCTTATTTTTTGGACAGACCTCATATATACATATTTAAGATAATCAAGAGTTTTGTAATTTTATAGAAATTCAAAACTATAACGTCAAAAAATGGAATGTATGTTTATTACTTCCAATGATGAAGTTATTTACACTTCTTGAATTACATTCTTCTTTTGCTATCAAAATCTAAGCACACGATAATTTCTATTCAATAGGTTTGTTTTGGTTCTGTATTTCGAATTGTTATTGAACCGTCCCGGTTGTCTTTCTGACAAGGTATAAACAAAGATTGAAGGTTAGATACCTCTACTCTGGTACAACGATCATTGGACTTCTGAGTTAATTTAAAGCCAAGAGTGAAAAAGTTAAGCAAATATATAATTAAAGTGTAATGTTTTTGAAAAAATGAGAGTAACAGGAATTAACTAAGACGTTATTTCCGGTTATCCAAAATTAAATTGAAAATATATTGTTCTCTCTTTGTAATCTTATACTAATGAGTTTGAGAAAAACATGCCAAGAATAAATTTTTGGAATCGTAAAAGATGTGATAATAATAATGATTATTATTATTGCTACATACATTTCACGTCTATCTGTTATGGTATAAGAATAATGTTGATATATAATTTTGTCTTATTTACAGGTCGCAACTCTCCGAGTTTCTTTGTTTTACCGGAGTCAGTATTGTAGATAAAATACCAAATGAAACACCAACTAAAATACTGATATAAATGAGATTAAGAAAACGTTACAACAAAATCCACAACGCAAATGAAAAATGTTATTAGTGCGCAAGAGCAAACTCGAAGTTCTAAACAGTCCCTACTCAAATGTACGAACTAATAATTATCGTTCTGGAATAGTTCCGAATCGGTTCGGAGAAAACCAAAACACTTTGTGAACGATACTAGAACGATTCTAACTGAACCAAAACACATTTTAATAACTGCACATGATCGAACTATACAAAATTGTGAACCAAAACAAACCTAATATAGAACCATCACTATACTTTAAAATTATTGATTTTATTCATATTGAGGTAGATGTAGCTCTCATTTGAAGGGGTGGAGGTAATGGTAAATAACTACCAAACTGTACATAAGTTGTAGATAATATATTGGGCAAAATAATTCCTGTACATAACAAGGGGCATTCAGCAGGGATGGTATCTGGTCAATGTTCATAATGATCTCTGCTTTCTAAAATGCATCGAAATAACTAAAAATCTCACATCATTATTTGTTCCAATCAATTCGGATTTTAACACACGTTGGATATCTGAGAAATTTTTCTATCATGTTAACCGGAAAGGACTCAGTGTAAAGCATATAGTTAGGGTTTTCCAACTTTTGAACATTGATAATTGATGACGGTAATATTGTTGAAGCTACGTCTCTCCTCAATAGGAAGACTAAACAGATTGCCTCTGGTTTGGATTCCTGGCCTGAAAGGCAATGAAGCTGCTGACTCTCTTGCAAAGGAGGATGCTGCAAGCAGCTTCATCGGACCGGAACCTGTCATTGGCATCGCTTTAGGCTTGAACACCTGGATGGCAAGAAGATTTATGGACTTCTGGCAGAATCTTCCAGGATCGGCTCACTCCAAGGCGTTTATTCACCCTTCGAAGCTTGATACCAGACAGTTGTTGGACTACAGTAGGGATGAACTACGATGTCTAACAGGCCTTCTTACAGGTCACTGTCATTTGACTCATCATATGCAGAGACTAGAGCTGTCGGAAGACAGTGTGTGTCGCCATCATTGGAAAGTCATGAAACAGCAGAGCATGCCCCTCTGGGGTCCGAATCAGGTTTTTAGAGTTCGACAGAGCCGTACTCTTACCATCTGACCTGAAAGACCACTTACCATACAAACTCATCAGCTTCCTTAAGAAGCTGGGTTTATTTGGTCGAGTGTTAATAGGTGTGAGCCACAGTAAACCCTTGCGGGTTGCGGTGGAGGGTCGAATAGACCCACTCACTTTAGACCTAACTAACGTAACGTACATCTGTCAAATCAGTTGTCATTTATTAAGTCTTTTTGGCTAAATCACTATGGACGAACATATAATTCATCAACAGGAGCAAATAATAAAATTGTTTTATCGAAACGGGTTTAGCGTTCGGGCAACGTACCGCGCGGCGCTTCGCCCATTTTATGGTCGCCATACTTAGAATACTGTTCGGAATGTTGTGGATTATTTTGAGACTACTGGTCGACCAACATCCGTACGTCGACAAAACGGAAGCTTTGCCGAAAACATCGCCGTTGTCTGTGATGGTGTGCAGGAGAATCCGAGGCAATCTATTTCGCGTCGCTCACAAACACTCGGCCTTTCGCAGACCACAACTTGGCGAATTTTGCGTCGTGACGCAGATAACGACCGCAGATAACGACTTGTGTTTGCTGAATGGGCTGGAGCAGTTGGCAACTGGCCCTAACTTTCATCAAAAAATCATCTTCAGCGATGAGGCCAATTTCTGAGAGAGGAAACAATAGAAAAGAAAAGGTTGGTAAAACCTGGAATGGAAAATAAAACGATAGAAAACAATTGTTGAATGAGTCATCAGTTCCTAAAGGGCAATTCAGTAATATATACCACTCAGTGTAGTTGTTTTTCGGGTTTGAAGGCAGTCAAAATTTGGAATTTCTTCCTGACGTTTCGCTAGCGCGAGCGGCTAACTTCTTGAGAGGTTTATTCATCCTGAGTTACAAATAATAATTTCCAGGGCCAACAAACAAATTAATCTACACTAACTTATATCTGTAACGAATCTGAAGCCGCCCCTGACCAGTATGCCGGCCGAATCATGTAACAAACACATGACATCACTGCAAAGGAATGCAGTCGGCAACCGCCGGTGAAACTCTAGTTGAGTACCGAACCGACTACAGATTTCTAGAAAGAACCGTTACAATATATAAGCCCGGCTTCCCGACCCAAGAGGGCAGTTCAAAAAGTAAATCGGGCGGCTAAACAAGAAGACATTCTCAAACCACTGAGAATGTCCATATAGGACTGCAGTAACGTTAGTTACAAATAAAAGTGGTAAAAAAAATAGACATTTTCATTTCTCTTTTCAACATGATCTCCTACCACGTAGTAACGGCTACATACATCAATTTACTTTTTACATTAGTCTTAAAATGGGGTTTTGAATATGCGAGTACATTCTAATTATCAATTATTTTTAGCGGTATTGTATCAAGCATTTTCACCATCAAATTGTAGTTCTAACCCTCTTATGGTGCACTTGATGCTTTCATCTGCCACACATAGACTATCAGTCGCTAGTAACTTTGAGATTGTTTATCAATACTGGGCAAAATTAGACACTTGAGGTATTGGAAAACTAGTAGTGAAGACCCAAACTATTCAAAAATGTCTAAGAATTATATTATTTAGAAATACGGCATCTATCCTGATCTACCTCAAGATCTCGATCCGAACCGCCAACAACAGACAACTCAAAACACTTCCAAATCAGGACCTGTCGAGAGCCTTTTATCTGGTTTACTCTCCGGAGGCAATACTCAACAACAAAGAGGTCCGCAAGGGACCCAGCAGCCTTACCAACAACAAGGAACTCAACAAGCCCATCAGGGTATCGATCTAGGATCTGTACTGTCAGGTCTTCTAGGTGGAAACCAACAATCTAATACAAACCAGCCACAACCCGGTGCAGTACCACCACGATATGGTGCCCCCCAGCAAAACATACCACCAAATCAGCAGTCTCAGGGCCCTGATATAGGTACCTTCTTATCAGGTTTACTTTCGAGTGGCAATCAGAACCCAGGACAGGTACCAACATCACAACAAAATGTACCCGGCAAACAGCAGTCCCAAGGTGTTGACATAGGATCCCTACTCACAGGTTTGTTATCAGGTGGCAACCAACAATCTGGACAAGCTCCTTCCCCAGGAAGTAAAACATCTGCACCCCTGCAACAACAAAATGTTCCAGGAACTCAACAGTCCCAAGGAGTGGACTTTGGTTCCTTGCTTTCTGGTTTATTGTCGGGTGGGAATCAACAAGGACACCCTGGACAAGGACCGCCCGGACAAGGACCGTCTGGACAAGTATCGCCTGGACAATTACCACCTGGACAAGTACCTCCGGGTCACGTACCGCCGCAACAACATGCCCAGGGCATTGACGTGGGTTCTTTACTGAGTAATTTACTATCCAGTAATACCCACCAGAGTCCTCAAGGGCCGGGCGCCGAAACAAAGGCTGCTGGGAACCAGCAGTCTCATAACATCGATGTTGGAGCCTTACTCACAGGATTGTCTGGTATGCTTTCAACTGTTCAAACCAGGCCTATCCAGGAAACTGGAAAGAATGGGGTAGGGCCACAGCCTCAAGCTCCTAGTCAACCGTCTCAGGGTTTCGATTTCAATTCTCTTTTGTCTGGAATATTGTCTGGAGGACAAGGTAATCAATCACAAGGAGGATATCAACCAGCACCGACAGGAGGGTATAATCAGCCACAGGGAGGGGGGTACCAACAACCACAAACAGGAGGTTACCAACAGCCACCAATGGAAGGAAATCAACAGCCGCAAACAGGTGGGTATCAACAGCCACAACCGGGGGGATATCAACAGCCACAACCGGGGGGATATCAACAGCCTCAAGCAGGTGGTAATCCATTACCTCCACAAACCGGTGGTATTTCTTTGACTCACACTGGAGGTACGCCTTTGCCACAAACTGGTAGTACTTCTTTGCCTCAAGCTGATGGCTCTCCTTTGCCTCAAGCTGGTGGTCCTCCTTCTCCTCCAATGGGTGGTTCTCCTTTGCCCCAAACTGGTGGTCCTCAGCAACCACAAGGTGGTACTGCACAATCATCGCAAGGTGGTACCGCCCAGAAAGATACTCCGAATTCGGCTCGGCCTGCTAGCAAGCAAATGTATGATGATGTAAGCGATCAGTTGGCTCAAGTCATAGCTGCAGAAGGAGGTGGTTCCCAAAGGCAAAATGTTGGACAATCTCACCAAGCGCATGGGAACGAGGTAGGCGATTTTTCCTAAGTTGTCAAGATTGGGTAATATTCGAAACACAATGCACTGGTTTTTAGAATAAGTTTTGCTGCATGTTTTGTCGGTGAAGGGTTTTTGGGCCTTAAACACCAATGGGCGCATACGATATTATATTAATGATAAGGTGATGGTGATTATCCAAAATTGATGTGTTTTGGATATATGCTGATTGTTTGCTGACTAAAAAATTAATTGAAAATGATCTGCTATGCTATATAAAATGCTTAATAATTTAGGAGAAAATTAAAATAAGTATTGGAGGAAATCCAAGAGTCTCTTCCATAAAATACTCTTGAAATTACTTCATTGGGGAACTCAGAAAAAGTTATGTTGAGATATTTCAATACTGTTACCTAGTTGCAGAAGTATGACATGGATAATCAAATAAAGTATTCAAATATTGATAATAATGTATAAGTTGTATTATAGAGAGTATATTTTTTAACAGATTTACTCGAGGCATTCAACATTGATTGTTGTTAGGATAAACTTCAGTTTTTCAAAATGTTTCCCATTTTTGTTTTCTACGAATAAAATATTATAGCAATACGGCCAATATCCTCATCCTCCCCAGCAAGAACAGAAGGGGCCTTTAGAGAATCTTCTGTCTGGTTTTCTTGGTGGAGGTGCCCAGCAATCTCATCAAGTAAGTACCAATTGGATTTCAAGAATGTGCTCATGATATGTACTATGGTACTGCATATATACAATATTTGTATAGTCATTATTGGAAAAGCTCAATTCCGGCCACCTTTTTCATTGAGACCATATTACCTTCACTTGGAACAATTTTTATGACAAAAATAGGTTATATTATACACGAATTATCTCTTCAAATAATGTATATTATCAGAACTTATCTCCGATCCACGTGGGAGCCAGTTTCTTTTGTTGATTTCATTAAAATCAATCCTATTTTGAATGTTCAAATTTACGTCCAACAACTTATTTTTCTGTCTCTTATTTTTTAGCAGCCACCACAGTTCGGTGGTGGTGAATCTATTGGAGGATTAGGAAGTATGAGTGGTCTATTGCAGAACTTTGCTGGGAATATCCTTCATCCCAAAGTATGACCTTATATCAAAATAGGATAATCACAATTCTAATCTTCTATATTTCAGGATGGGAACCAACGTCAAAATTATTAAACTGGTGCTTCCACAAAATATTAGAGCTGCTTTGATTTTTTATTTATAATTTTATTTTGAATAGGTATTTAGGTAAGAGCACACAGAGGTATATATCAAGTGAATTTTCTGACAGTTCTATTTTTGTGCAACTTTGAGAAGCGGGAAATATGTTATTACATTACCAGGGTCAATTATTACGAACCTCCTGAGATTAGATTAATTTTTTTTAACGGTTGTCACATTTTGTATTCTTGAATTATTTTATGTTGCTGCTAGTAAGAATTGAATTTATCTTTAATATAGATTTGATGCTCTCTGACTTGGGCCTTACATATTTATATTTTTTTATTAGTTTTTGTGCTTGCTATCTGCAAAAATATCTTAAGTAGGTTTATATCTTATTTTCAACACAAATTTGTCGCCTTCCAATGTCCATAGTTCAAAAATGTTATGCCTTATTATGCTCGAATGAATGCAGGTCATTCGCCAATTTGAGGATCTATAATATAAGTTATTGTAAAGTGTATTATTATTATAACTAACTTATTTACGAATGATTTATATTTTGTTAATGTACTGCTGAGATTTTAAAAAGTTACACCATTAAACAGGGAAAACAATCTTAGTCTTTCTATGCTATAATAAATAAATATGGAGTAACACGTCATTCAACCTGCAATAAATGTGGCCATTGTTTGTGAGAATGAAGTTTGCCTACGCTTGCCTTTCATTCGTGCCATAAATCATTCATATGAGTAACGGCCATTTTTCGAAAGTACAATATCATACTGAAGTTTCAAACTTTCATGGCCGGAAATTAAATTCGAATTTTGGTTATCCGTACTGGCTAGTTGTGTTCCCATAGAAAGATTAACTCTGAACGTTTTATCCTTCCTCGTTGGTAGACTCGTTAATGAGATGATCTCTCCATTGAAACACGGCTACCCAGCCCAGAAAACCAATGAGTTTACCAACGAGGAGGTCGCCACGCATTGCTGCCAATCACCGCTGAAGATGCCCTTCATTGTTATGGACAAAACGTTTAGAGTGAATCTCTCCTTTGGAACACGGATACTGGGCCTGGATAACCAACATTAGAATACGAGGTCTTTTAGATAGATAGATAGTTCTTTATTTCCAACAGGTATAAGTACACCCAATAACAGGAAATGTATAAACTGGATAAATGTATATATATAAAAAAAGAAAATGTTTCAAAAATGTTGCATATTGTTAAGTAAATATCATAAACTGCGAATCGAATGTTCGTAGCCCGCGAAATTTGAACATTCATCTTAGTTTTCGAACAGACCTACCAACTCATGTAACTGCTAATTACTTTGCAACAGTTGAATTGCTTTTTGAAAGTAAACCAGTGTTATATAGAGAATTGAATTACCTATTGATTGAGGTACCACAAGACTCCATTTCCATCCTTTTGACAAAAAACACTGGTAGCGCCCTCTTGGTGATAAGTAATGCAACATTAATATCAAAGAGTAACAAAAGCGAAGCCTTTTTACGTAAATTTTGTCTATGACTATTCACGTCTGCACTGTAAAATTGTTTTTTTTATTTCGTGGTTCACATTTCTTTCAATATTAGATAAGATTATTGTCAAACACTCTTGTCAACCGTTTATTCTTGGTCGAGTGAAAAAAATAGCCATTGTACACACCGCCAAGTAAATAAACATCCTTTATTATTATCATATTGCTGCATTTCTTGGCTTTATCAGAGTCTGATATTATATGGCTCTTTAGTTGAATAGATGAAATGACAAAAAAAAAATCCTTGAACATCACTTATGACTTATCACTGGGCTCAAATTTGAGTATTTCAAAAATTGATAAAATATAAGAATTTTTGCTTTAAAATTCGAATGTTGACGTAATTTAAAATAAACCAGAAACACTCTTAAACAGTAATTTTCAGCAAACATTTTGGACGGTCCAAGTTGAAAAAATAAAAGAATATGGAAGAAAACACGATTATTATTAGTGTTACTTAACTGAGAACCAGCTGTTTCATCATTCTGAGTAACCGCTGTTGAGCTATGCAAAAAATAGACAAACTACAAATTTTTCCATATATATTTTCATATGTTGACGATACATAAAATCATAAATAAAAAGAAAGTAATTGCAACCACACTATATAAAATATCGCATTGAAGATAAAAATATTAGGATATGTCAGAAACGAGGACTAGTAAAAAGAATAACAATAATTTCATATTATGCAAAAAGCTAACTAGAAAGTCATTATTCACCGTCACTGACTCATCGGAGGGTTTTAGGCGTATGTCTATGAATATCCCACTTCTGATGTATTCAGTTGAGGGTACTTTTCCTCTGCAGGTTCTTGATCATCTGTTGGAAATTTGAGTAGCCGAAAATTTGAATACGTATATTTGATGGATATTTTCAATGAAGGCAACACATTTATTCTAGATCGGAATATATTATATATTGTACGAAAATCATAACCAGATTCGAGACTTCTTACCATGATGGTTTGTTCCCCACCGTTCACCTGCCAGGAGAAACAAAAATGCATCAATTGGTGTAAAATCAGTGATTTCTTAGTGCCTGTTCATCTAAAGACAAGTTCATAAGGATATATTTTCACCAACGTGACAAATATATCTTGTGTCTGAAGACAATACCAAGGAGATACATACCTACTAGAAAACACATTTTTTGAAATAAAATCTCGAAATTATCATCTCTTCCAATTACCTACACCTCAGGTTCTGGAGAATGCCTACTGTAAAACAACTACTTTCCAAGTTGATACCACGCTGGATATTGAATTGTATCTGGGGAATTATAGCCAGGGAAGTAGTTGTTTTCCGGTATGAATTTACCAGAACCTAAGGTGTTTGTAGTTGGCGACAGATTAAAACTTCGAGATTTTATTTCAGAATATATCTTATGTATTGTTTTCTGATTTAATGGAGGTATCAATTTTCCTATTTGGATATATGTTGATGTTACACAGATGCAACTAAACAATTCACACATTAACTTGGTGGAAAAAAAATTCGATCATATAAGAGGTTAATGAATACATTTTTCATTTTGTTTTATTTTTATGGAAGTGCGATTGTTATAAAATCATATGAATTGAACTTTTTAAAAAAGAATAAAGACTAATAATTAGTACACTGTAAATTCATATTAACAAAAAAAAAGAAACTGCTTATCAGTTTTTTATAAAGTTTTTGTAATAGTCTGCTTCAAGAGTATAGAAGATATGTTTTTGTTAAATATATTTTAAATATACAAATAATAAAAGAATTACTCCAAAATAATTGCATTTGTTTCCCCTCAAAGGCTCTACTCTTGAGTTGATTCTGCCTTTTCTACTTCAACTTATTAGAAATATCAAAATTTTTATGTAAACGTTAACAATAAGAATCGAAACCAAATTATAATTGAAAATAATTATGACTTTTCATTGAGAATACAGTATTAATTTGAAAGTTAAAACATTGTTTAAGAAAATATTTGCCAAAACAGAAATTGTGACAAGGTGGGTAAACTTTCTCTCTCAAGATTGTGCGAGCTATTTGGGACAAAAAAAGAAGAAGAAGAAAAAACCTTCTACTCTCATGACGAATAACTGTAGAAAACTGTATGAAAAAATCAAAATTTATGAAACAAATGAACAAAAAAAATTATGAAAAAATCGATACACACAATCACAATACAAAGAGTTTCAATAAATTTATCAAACTGCCAATTATTCAGCCATAATCAAACTTAGTCATAGTTACTAGTTCACACCGACTAAGTGAACTCAAATTCTGGACTGACACATAAAAGTTAATCATTAGTTCAAACTGTGGATTATAAGAAAATACTCTGTGGCATTGACGGATAGTTCAAACTGTCGATTAGTTATAACCTACAGCTTAAAACACCCAGCCATACTCTACAACTTAAACTATCTGTAATCGACAGTTGAAACTAGTCTTTACAATCAACAATTGAAACAATCGGTTGGACATCATTGACAATTTAAACTGTGGATTATCGACAATCATCATTTGAAACTGTTGATCAAACATGTTTCAACTGTCAATTACTCACCCGATCAACCAATTACCTTCATTCAACAGTTGAAACTAATAATTTTTGACAATCGACAATTGAAACTATAGGTTAGTCATAATTGATAATTCAAACTGTGGATCATTATCTACAATTGACTTCTGAAACTGGTGATTAAACGCGTTTCAACTAGCGATTATTCACTCCACCAATCATTTGTTGCAGTTGTTTAGCGAGAAATGAGACTTTAACCTGACTAATCAAGTTTGAACTGTCGATTGACATTTTGAACTGTTGATTATAACTAATCGACATTTGAACTACAGACAATAACAAAAGCATTCAGTGACCATTCATATTTAAGTGCGGTTAAGTTACTGCCAACAATAATAATTTAGTCCCTTCGAAAAATAATTGACTTAATAAGTGTTGAAATTGGAAATGGAAAACCCATTGAAAATATCCAGACATAATTTTATGGCCCGTCTTCAACGTTTTCCGCTAACCTCAAATACCTACTCAATCGAACACAACACCAACCCTCGTTTCCGCAAACCCTCTAACCACCCCCAACTCAATTCTCGTCAGAGTCGGCTCCGATCTTTTTCCTGATGCTCCTCCTGGATTTCCTCATCCAGCGACTCCTGTGTTTGCTGTAGCGGCCGCTCTCGACGTCCGGAGGGCTCTCCGGCGTTCTGCTCGAACACTCCTGGCGGACCCTCTTGGAGGAGGAGCAAGTGCTCGCACTCGAGCTGGGCCCGGTGCTGCAGCCGCTATCCGCGACGCTGACGCATCGTCTTTTCGGCGTGCGCGTGTACTCAAAGTCACTATCACTGCTATCACTGAAGCCGTCGTCGCGGTTATTGTCTTCTTCCGGTTCTGTGGACCGGTGGGAGGACTGGAGGTTGTCGGATGGCTCGTCTTCGGCCAAGTGTAGTCTGGAAGACGATGTGCTACTCCTGAAATTGATTATAGTACTTTAAGAACTATTATGATACGTTTTTATACAGTGTATTTCTTTGATGTTAATGCATGAATACTTTATTTTGAAGTGAAATTGAAACTTTCAAGATGGCGACTGGGCGCCATATGCAAAATGTGCATAATATGCAAAATAACCATGGCGGTGTTTGTATTTTAACGAAAACAAATGTTTTAAATACTTTCAAACCTTTTAGCTATACAAAATGCATAGAAAAATTGTGTGAGCTGACAATTGTGCTGTTAAAGAGATATCTTTACTTTGTTCCCTCTCTAAACTGTTTGAGAAAGTTGTTAGTAACAGAATTCTGAATTACATGGATCAAAATAATCTTTTTAGTAATAACCAATATGGCTTCAGGAAGAACAAATCAATTGAATCAGCTTCATACCATTTATTAAATTTCATTTATACACAGGTTGACTCGAATAAACTAGTTGTAACACTTTTTTTCGATTTGTCAAAAGCATTTGATACCATTTCTTCCGAATTTCTTATAATTAAACTTGCAGGCCTAGGTTTCCCAAATAATCTATTGAACTGGGTGAAATCATATATGGAAAACCGTAGTCTAATAGTTAGCTGCAATGGAATTTTATCAAGTCCCAAAGATGTAAAACTAGGAGTGCCTCAAGGTTCTGTCCTGGGACCATTGTTGTTCCTCAATTTCATAAATGACCTGTCTGAATTCTTTTCTGAGTGTCACATAACCATGTTTGCGGATGACACTGCAATTACTGTGGCCGACAAAAACGAAGTTGAGTTGTCAGACAAAATAAATAAAATAATAGATAAATTCAGTGCTTGGTGTCAACGTAACAAACTTATTCTGAATAAATCTAAATCTGTTTCAATGAAATCATTTATTAGGAAAAATTTCAGCAGTGACTCTTCCACAATAAATGGTATTCGATCTTCCAGCGAAGTCTTGTTTTTAGGAACGTCTTTAGACGAAAATTTGACCTGGAGCGGTCATATTCAGAAGGTCTGCAACAAACTCAATTCCGCATATTACTCAATCAAACAATTGAAAAACACTCTAGATAATTTTGGATTGATGAATGTCTATTTTTCTATGGCTTATTCTCACATCAGCTTTAATATCATTTCTTGGGGATGTGCAAGGGAATTNCGGCATATACATGTGACAACATATATCCAGAATCACTGAAAAAATCAAAGTCTATACCCATATATAAAAACAAGGGCTCCAAAAATGACGTAACCAACTATAGAAATATCTATAATTATCGACTATGTCTATTATTTGCGACTTCGTAAATTTGTTGAACACTATAAACTCATACCAGAAAGTCATCATGGTTTTAGACAGCAAAAATCAACATCATCTGCCATATTCGAAATGTGTGACATCTACAAAAACGTCAATGATGAGAAATTTCCAATTGGTTTATTCTTTGATCTATCCCGGGCATTCGACACAGTTGACCCCAGTTTATTACTTGAGAAACTGTATAGAATGTGAATAAGAGGAGTAGCCAATAAATGGTTAGCATCATATTTATGTCAAAGGTCGCAAATAGCGGTAATAGATGAAATAAAATCACAACCAGCCTCTGTCTCATTAGGAGTTCCACAAGGCTCAACATTGGCTCCGCTTCTGTTTATAATATTTATGAGTGATATTGAAAATTCATGTGTATCTCCACAAAAAACAATAATATATGCTGATGATACCTATCAAATAGTAGCAGAAAATAAACTTCTCCTATCTGTTCAAGCTGCAAATAAAACTGCTGACGAATTTTCACAATGGTGCACAGATAACGGTCTACTTGTTGATGTAAATAAAACTGTTTTCATGAATTATCAACAAAAGAATCTAACTAATGATCATTGTTCACTAATAAAAATACATCACAGATCTATAGAGCAGGTGAATCAATATAAGTATGTAGGATTAGTAATTGATCAGAAGTCAACTTGGCGAAAACACATAGATTATCTAATAACAAAACTAAGTAGAGTCTGCTTCATAATAAGGCAACTACATGGAACAGTATCTCTAGAAGTACTCAAATTGGCCTATTTCGGATTAGTACAATCTAATATCACAAATGGGTTAATATTCTGGGGAAACTCAGCATACGTAACAAAGTGTTTGTTATAAAAAAAAAAAATAATTAGATGTATGGCTGGCATACATTGTAGACAATCATGCAAGACAGTTTTTAAAGATCTATCTATTTCAACACTACCGTCTTTATATATTTTGCTCATAACTATGAATATCAAAATAAATGAATCACACCATACAAAAAACAGTATGATACATGAACACAATACTCGTAGAGGAAATGAACTGAGACTACCTTACTCACGATTAGCCCTTGGGCAAGACTCGGCAAGCTATCAAGGAGTCATATGTTATAACAAAGCAACTAGGTTACTAGGAAATATTGAAAATTACAATACATTCAAAAAAGCTTTAATAGACCTTCTCCTAGAAAATGCCTTTTACAATGTCGAAGAATGTTTGGATTTGAATGTATAAGCTGCTTTTTCTGCAGTTTGTGTGACTAGCCTGATAAATGTTGTACCAGTAATGTATTTGTTATATGTGTATGATATTTTAATGATGAATAAATTCTATTCTATTCATATCGAATTCATTAGGATTCGCTTCGACGATTTCAGTGATGAGAGGGTCAACAGTAGTTTCCAGCATATTCAAATACAGAACCCTTGTTACATTTTGATCAATAAACAGGTGTCCTACAACATGGTTTCCCAATATTCCTGCCCAAACGTTAATTTTTTATGGATTTTGGGTATGTGTCTCCCGGAAAACGTGAGGGTTGGTGTCACGCCAATAACGGCAATTTTGTCTGTGAACATTCCCGCAAAAAAAATGTACATTCGTCAATGGTTTGCAATGGTTTCTGTCATGATTTTGCAGAATTATGTTCTTCGATCAGGGTCATCTTCAGTTAATTGGTGTACCATTTTAATTTTGTATGGATGATACCTATTTCTCTTCAAAAGACTCCACACAGTAGAAGGAGACACCTCACAAGCATTCGCGAAGGAATAAGTAGACTGTTCAGGATTTACTACCATCTCACCAATTATTTGCACTTGCTGTTCTTCCGGAATGGACGGATGACCTGGAAGCTTTTTGTTACATACATTACCGGTAGTTGTGAATTTGGATACAAGTTCCCTCAAATATTTTCTATAGATAGAACGATTCGAAAAACGTTCATTGAAAATCCTTTCGGTCTCGTGAAAGTTACGAGTCATACCGTAAATACAAATTTTTCGGGAAAGAAAGTTTTTGGCTTTCTACTACTCCATCTTGATACAAAAAAAGAAGGATGAGGGAGTCTTCCGAAGAAAGGAAGGAAGTAACTCTATACATAGATGTGTAGATCATGCAAAGAAGTAACTTTCAGACACAAACTGAAAGAAAGTCCTCCTGAAACAGCTACTTTCATATAAACATTGAATTATACGAAAGAAAAAATTCTTTCGAAACAAATACTTCTATATGAACACTGAATTATACAGAAGATAATTTTCT